TATTATCCTACAATTTTCTGTTCATTCTGATGATGCATCCATCCTTTTTTTTCAATCCATTTAATTCAATCAATTTTAAAGAGTACTTACTATGTTCAAGGTATTGCATTAGGAGCTGGAGGCGCTACAAGGATAATTAAGGCAACTCCTACTTGTAGTTGAGTATTAGGGAATAAAGGAAAACCTTAATGTGAGGTAGAAAGAAGTTGCTGTGAGTCTTCAGGAAATGCTGGTTGTGGCTTTTGAGCTAGATACTTACTTAAGAGTAAGATTTTTACATACCAGGATAGCTTTACTGAGATATAATTCACATTTTATAAAATTCACTCCTTCAAAGTGTACAGATCAATGGGTTTTAGTATATTCACAAATTTGTGCAACCATCACTTCAATCACTGTTAGAACATTTCATCACTCTAAAAAGAAACCCCATCCACATCCATTAACTATCACTTCCCATTCTGCCTCCCTGCAGCCCCTGGCAACTGCTAATTTACTTTCAGTTTCTATGGAATTGCCTCTTCTTTACATTTTGTATAAATAGAGTTATACAATTTATGAAGCAGAGAAAGAGGATTGGGGAGTTGCAATTTAAATAGGATGATCAAGGAAAGTTTTAAGGAGAATGACACACTCGATTTTTTTTTTCAAATTTTTATTTAAACTCTAGTTAGTTAACAGATAGTGTATTGGTCCCAGGAGTAGAATTTAGATATTTATCACTTATATACAACACCCAGTGTTCATCATAACAAGTGCCCTCCTTAATACCCATCACCCATTTAGCCCATCCCCCATCCACCTCCCTCCATCAACCCTGTTTGTTCTTTGTCATGAAGATGCTCGTATGGGGGTGCCTGGGTGGCTCGGTCGGTTAAGTGTCCAACTCTCAGTTTTGGCTCAGGTCATGATCTCAAGTTTAGTGAGTTCAAGCCCTGCATTGAGCTCTGTGTTGGTGGTGCAGAGCCTACTTGGGATTCTCTCTCTTCTTCCTCTCTCTCTGCCCCTTCCCCACTTACTCTGTCTCTGTTTCTGTGTCTAAATAAATAAACAAATCTAAAATTTTTTAAGAGTCTCATATGGTTTATTTCCCTCTCTCTTTCCCCCCCTTCCCATATGTTCATCTGTTTTATTTCTTAAATTCTGTATATGAGTGAAATCATATGGTATTTGTCTTTTTCTGACTTATTTCACTTAGCATAATACACTCTAGTTCCATCCACATCATTGTAAATGGCAAGATTTCATTCTTTTTGGTGGCTGAGTAATATTCCATTATATATATATGCCACATCTCTTTTATCCATTCATCAGACAATGGACATTTGGGCTCAGACAGTTCCATGGTTTGGGTATTGTTTTGATAGACACATTCAACTTAAAGGCTGAATGCAGGTGAAGAAACAAACTATATGGATATCTGGGTAAAAAGTGTTCCAGGCAGAAAGAACAGCAAGTGCAGTGGCCCAGAGGCTGGAGAGTGCCGGGTGTGCTGGAGGAACAACAAAGAGATCGGTGTGGCTAGAGAAGAGTAAGTAGGGGGAAAGTAGTAAGAGATTAGGCATTAATGGGGGCCAGACTGGGTAGGACCTTACAAACTATGACAAGAGTTTGGCTTCTGCTCTATGTGATATAGCAAATCATTAGAGGATTTTGAGCAGAGAGTAGCAAAATTTGATTTATATTTTAAAGATATTTATTTAGTTTATTTATTTATTTGTGGGGGGGGGGCAGGGCAGAGGGAGAGAGAGAATCCCAAGCAGGATCCACACCCAGCATGGAGCTCGATCTCACAACCATGAGATCATGACCTGAGCCAAAATCAAGAATTCGACACTTAACCAACTGAGCCACTGAGGTGCCCCTAAAGGAATTAATCTTTAAGTGGACCAATCATTTTGAGAATAAAATGTGGGAGAATAAGGGTGGAAGGAGGGAAGCAGTGGGCAGGCTTTAACAATATCCCAGGCAAGAGACAATGATTGCTTGGACCAGGCGATAGCAGTGAAGGTGTTGAGAACTGATTAGAGTCTGAATATATTTTGAGCTGGAGTTAGAAGGATTTGATGACAGAATGAATATGGGATGTGAGAGAAAGAAAGGAGTCAAAGGTAACTCCAAGATTTTTGTCTGACAAGTAAAGATCAGAAATTAAGTTTTGGATATATTAAGTTTGAGATGCCCATTGAAGTGGAGATGTCAAGAAAATAGTTGGATAAGCAAGTCTAAAGTTCAAGGTCTGAGAACTGCTGAGAGGGTAAGGCACAAACCCTTTGAATGACACTCAATCTGGGTAGTATCTTTGGCACTCTCCATATGGGGAATAGGAAGTTTATACCTCTGCCTAGGAGCATGCTGATTGTACCATGTTCTATAGAGCTGCCTCTACCCAGGGAATAAACACTGTTGTCTTCTACTGTTTGTTAGCATCTTTCCTCCAATCATATAACTGTCCCTAGGGAATAAATACCTATACAAACATTTAAATTCCTTCCTCTTTGGCTCTTTCCACTTTCTAACATTACATGCTCACTCTACTTTCTGTAATCCATATGATATTTTACTCCCAGATAGGAAATCTTGCCATTGTCTCATTAATTGAGAACAAGATCCTCAGGGCACCTGGGTGGCTCAGTCAGTTAAGCACCTGATTCTTGACTTCAGCACACGTCATGATCTCACAGTTCATGAGATCGAGTCCTGCATCTGGCTCTGCACTGACAGCAACAAGCCCACTTGGGATTCTCTTTCTCCCTGTCTCTCTGTCCCTCCCCCTTGCCCACTCTCTCTCTCTCTCTCAAAATAAATATTTTTTAAAAAGGACAAGATCCTCTTCCTTTGGTGTTCACCACAAGGGCACAGTATTTTTTATTGAGATATAGTGACATATAACATTATATTAGCTCCAGGTATGCAACAGAATGATTCAATGTATGTATACATATTGCAAAATGATCATCACAATAAATCTAGTTAACATCTATTCCAAATCTTTTCTTCATGCTGGATAGTTTGGATATGAGGATGCCAGCCATAATGGTTCAAATATGTCTGCAAATAACTCAGGAATTCACAGGTTAATTTATGGAAATGTTGTCCACATAAGGCCTACAGTCTTGTCCCATGGTAGGTGTTTAACTAAATCTGATTAATCATTTGTGCTCAACCATATATCATAAAAATCTTTACATATTGTAGGATCTTGAGGAAAGAAGAATCCTCTACTATCTCTGCCCATCACTCTCTGTGATTCCAACTTAGTATCTTCTCACAGGGTATCTCTTCACCCAGGCTCATGACAAAACTTTCTCTTTTGTCTGCCACTTGATTTTTGTTGTTTTGTTGCTTTGTTTTCTTTCCTGACATGGTCTGTCTTCTGGAATGGGAACTAGCCTCTGACTGGCCTGGTAATGTCCGAAACTCTTTGCAAATTATGCCTAACATAGAGATTGCTCTTGTGAGCCAGAGCAAGACTCTCTGGCATTACCCCATTATAGCCACACTCATCCCCTAGCCCCCTGCAACCACTAATCTATTTTCCAGTTCTATAATCACATATTTCACAATTGTTACATAAATAAAATCATGAAGTATGTATCCTTTTGTGATTGGCTTTGACCACTCTGTATAATTTCCTTATACAAGTTCATCCACGTTGTTAAATGTATCAAGAGTCCATTCCTTTTTTTTTTTTTTTTTTTTACCACTGAGTCATACTCCATGGCATGAATGTACCACAGTTATTTCTATCCATTTATCCTTCGAAGGATATTTGATTTGTTTCCACTTTTGGGGTATCCTAAATAAGTTGTTCTAAGCATCCATGTACACAAGTTCCTGAATAAAGATAAATCCTCATTTCTCGGGGATAAATGCCCAAGAGTAGAACTGCTAAGTTGAATGGCAGGTCAATTTTTCAGTTTTAAAAGGAAGAGGCAAACTATTTTCCAGAGTCAAATTACTTATTTTTGAAATTTAATTATGACTCAATCCCCAGAAAGACATTGCAATGTTTACTTCTTTTTGATTAGAGAACTAACTATCCTTCTCAGAGTCCTGTGAAGTCAGATGGACCTGGATTCAATTCAGCTTCAATCACTTATAAACTGGGTGAGCTTGAACAACTTTGACTCAACTTTTTTGAATCTCAGATTCCCTATTTTTAAAATAGGAATAATGATGGTGGAGAATTTAATAAGACAACACTTAAAGTACTCAGAGTAGAGAGTCTGGTATACTGCAGTGAGTTATGGTCTCTCTTCTTACTCCATGGCAAAATAATGATCAAATATTACTTCCAACATTTTTGGTATTTGAAATTTTTAAAATCAAAAGAAAGCATAATTTCAGTTCCTTTTGTACATATTATTTTTATTTTTATTTTTTTAATATTTTTATTTATTTCTAGGAGAGAGAGAGAGACAGCGTGAGCAGGGGAGGGTCAGGGAGAGGGAGACACAGACTCTGTAACAGGCTCCAGGCTCCGAGCTGGCAGCCAGCACAGAGCCCGACACGGGGCTCGAACCCACGAACCGCGAGATGATGGCCCAAGCGAAAGTCGGACGCTTAACCGACTAAGCCACCCAGGCGCCCCTGTACATATTTTTTAAATTCTTTTTTTCATTTTATTTATTTATTTTGAGAGAGAGCACACCAGCAGGGGAAGGGCACAGAGAGAGAGGGAGAGAGAATTCCAAGCAGGCTCTGCACTGTCAGCACAGAGCCCAGTGTGGGGCTTGATCTCATGAACTGTGAGATCATGACCTGAGCTGAAATCAAGAGTTGGATGCTTAACTGATTGAGCCACCCAGATGCCTCCATATTCTTTTTTATTAGATGAATTATCTTTAATAGATTCCTTATGCATCATTTTTCCTTGGCAAAACCATTTTCCCTTCTTCTTATCATCTGTTTGCTGAAGTAATCCTTACAATGCTTGGCCACAGAAATGAGTTGGTGTATCTCCATTATGCTCTGTGGTTTTTCTCTCTTCTAGGTCAGTGAACAATTTTCTGATGACTGGTCCAAAGGTAAGAAAAAAAGTCCTTCAATTTATTTAGATTTCACTGATCTTAGCTTCTTGACTGAAAACTATACACATCAATTTCTTTTCATTATATTCATATTTTTATTAGCTGTATATGTTACAGACAGAAAAACGTTGGCACTGAGAGGGGTTACACCCAAAAGAACACAACAAGCTAGTGTCGGGGCCAAGGCAAGAAATGAGTATTGATTCTGAATGTATGGCCAGCATTTCCAGAGCCAGAAAAGTCAACAGCCTTTCATGGTGTCAGGTTGTAGTCACACATCCTTCTCAGTGCAGTGGGTGGATGCAGTTTGCCTTTAAACTGGTGGCATTGTACTACATGATCTCTAAGGACATTTCCAGCCCCAAAATGTTTTTTTTTTTAATATTTTTATTTATTTCTAGGAGAGAGAGACAGCGTGAGCAGGGGGGGTTCAGAGAGAGAGGGAGTCACAGATTGAAACAGGCTCCAGGCTCTGAGCTGGCAGTCAGCACAGAGCCCGACGCGGGGCTCGAACCCACGAACCGCGAGATCATGACCCAAGCGAAAGTCGGACGCTTAACCGACTAAGCCACCCAGGCGCCCCCAAAATGTTCTTTTCTAAGATAGTAATGGAGTGAGAACAGCTGAAACCCCATTTATGTAATTTGGGCTCATTTTGGAGAAGCAGAATAATATAGTGAATAAAGGCTAGTGAGGTCTAGAGTCTGATAACGCTGAATTTCATTCCTACTTTTACCATCTGCTAGCTGTGGGACCTTCAGCAAACTGCTTTACTTCACCACTGTAAGCCTCTGGTTTCTAATCTATAAAAATGGTACCTATTTCACAAGGCTATTTGTGATTTTTTTTTAAGTGATTAGCAGCTATCTCTTTTTTTTTTTTTTTTACAAATAGTTTATTGTCAAATTAGTTTCCACATAACACTCAGTGCTCATCCCCACAAGTGCCCTCCTCCATGCCCATCTCCCCCCTCCCCCCCACATCCATCAGTCCTCAGTTTCTGTCAGCATTCAAGAGTCTCTCATGGTTTGCCTCTCTCCCTTTCCCCCCTTCTTCTCCCCCTTGTTCCTCCGTCAAGTTCCTCCTAATCCTCCTATACGTGCAAACATATGATATTTGTCCTTCTCTGCCTGACTTATTTCGCTCAGCTATTTGTGATGTTAAATGGGACAACATATTAAAAGTGCTTACTCTGTCATTATTTTAGAAGGATGGGAGAGGGGCAGGGAAAAAGGTGCTTGGCCACTACAGGGCAGATGCCTTCCAACTTCAGCTGAGAGTCTGGATGTTGACCCCCGTGTTTCTACGCAGGCTTACCTGATCTATTCCAGCAGTGTGGCAGCTGGTGCCCAGAGTGGTATTGAAGAATGTAAGTATCAGTTTGCCTGGGACCGATGGAACTGCCCTGAGAGAGCCCTGCAGCTGTCCAGCCATGGCGGACTTCGCAGTGGTAAGGAAAGCCTCAGCCACAGCTCCCTGGCCCCCCTGACCACAGGTTAGAGCCCCACTCTTCAGGGATGGCCCCCTGCTGCTTCTACTTCCTCATTCCTCAACCTGGTTTCTATCCTCTCTCTGAGATCTTCTCTGTCCCTTCTCCACCTTATAAAGCTTTTTTTTCCCCTTTCTTCCCAACACCTGCACTGCTCAATGAATGGACTTTGCCTCACCCCCCTTGGGCCCCTTGGGATCCCAGTTAGCTAAATATAAATAGCATTAGGAGGCAGATAGGGGTCATAATTCTTCATGCCTCTTAGCTCCTTCCTTCAGCTGCTCAGCAGAGAGGTACAGGCTGAGTGAGGACTGACCTGGACTTGACTTCCCATGGAGAAGATAAAGAGTGGTCATGCCAGTAAATGAAATAGCTGCCAATCAGAGTCAGCATGTTCCTCTTAGACTTCAGTATTCCAGGAAGAAAGAGCCCTGGGATCTTTACAACCTGGCTTTCAGGTTCATCTCCTTTCCCATTTCTTCCTCTGGCTCTTCACCACCTAAATCCTTTACAACCACGTGTGTAAACAATAATCTAGCCACCGAGTCATAATGTGTACCCTGGAAAGATGGGAGGGAAGAAGCATAGCACTAAGACCAAGGCTGGAGCAGACCATGGAAGTGAGTAAGGTACATTATAAAGGTGGGGAAATAGGATGCAGCTGGGGAAGGAGGGCATAATGTTATTAAAGGAAGACAGCATGACTGATACTTCTTTGAGTTACAACCCCTCCCTCTAACTCACCCATTTTTTGGCTCCTGTCAGCTAATCGGGAGACCGCATTTGTACATGCTATCAGCTCTGCTGGGGTTATGTACACTCTGACTAGAAACTGCAGCCTCGGGGATTTTGACAACTGTGGCTGTGATGATTCCCGCAACGGGCAGCTGGGTGAGTAATGATACTGCGTGGCGGTGGGGGGTGGAGGGGGGCGTAGGGCAGGCCATAAAGTCCACTATGAGTGAAAAGTCTGGTGGGTAGTTTGGTGGGGGTGAAGCAGCATTGTATTCTTCTAAACCTGAGGAAAATCGGGGCCAGCCAGTTTAAGCCCAAACCCTAGAGTGACAAACCAGGCTAAATGTAGCTTGGGGCCCTCCTCCCTCAACACTCCCTGTGGATTCAATCTTGCCACTCCCTAAATAGGGGGAATGTCATTTCCTGTTGCCTATCCGTTTTCTCTCCACTCTTCACCTCCACTGTCCTCTCCCATGCTCTCTGCCCTCCAGCTCAACTTCCAGCTTTGTTGTTCCATATTATTTCCAGTTGTGCCTCTTCCCCCACTCCATGCTGGCGCTTTGCTCACCTTTTTCTGGGCCATTTTGTGGATGTCAGTCGCTGGCCAGGCACGTGCACACTCTGCCGGAAGGCCAGAAACACTGTGTGTAGAGGGACACCCCAGCATCTTGCGGAGATCATAGAGTCCGGAGCAAGGGGCTGGATGAGGCTGGAAGTGGAAGCCCAAAAGTGGCCTGAACAAATCTGGGCTGAGACTAATCTGGAGACAAGGCTCCCGCCCAACCCCAACCCAGCTGGAAACACTAGCTAGGAGGCTCCAAGCCCTCCTGGCTCAGACATTTCCTCCCCCTTGCACTCTTCCAGGGGGCCAAGGCTGGCTGTGGGGAGGCTGCAGTGACAACGTGGGCTTCGGAGAGGCAATATCCAAGCAGTTCGTCGACGCCCTAGAGACAGGACAGGATGCCCGGGCCGCCATGAACCTGCACAACAACGAGGCTGGCCGCAAGGTGAGTCCTGCAGCCGTTGGGGTCAGGCAGCTGGCTCCGTCCACTCCCAGCCCTGGGTGCGACAGCTCTTCGGGTCGTTTAGCAGATTGGAAAAACGAGGCATCAAGCCGGCCAGCCACGTGGATTAATTAGCTAGACGCGTCACAACCCTCCCCGACCCACAGCAGACTCCCCACAGCGTCATCCCGGACCAGCTCACTCCTGGCTCTCTCCCCCAGGCGGTGAAGGGCACCATGAAACGCACGTGCAAGTGCCACGGCGTGTCAGGCAGCTGCACCACACAGACCTGCTGGCTGCAGCTGCCCGAGTTCCGCGAGGTGGGCGCGCACCTGAAGGAGAAGTACCACGCGGCGCTCAAGGTGGACCTGCTGCAGGGCGCCGGCAACAGCGCGGCGGGCCGCGGCGCCATCGCCGACACCTTCCGCTCCATCTCCACGCGGGAGCTGGTGCACCTGGAGGACTCCCCGGACTACTGCCTGGAGAACAAAACGCTAGGGCTGCTGGGCACCGAAGGCCGAGAGTGCCTGCGGCGGGGCCGGGCCCTGGGCCGTTGGGAGCGCCGCAGCTGCCGCCGGCTCTGCGGGGACTGCGGACTGGCGGTGGAGGAGCGCCGGGCCGAGACCGTGTCCAGCTGCAACTGCAAGTTCCACTGGTGCTGTGCCGTGCGCTGCGAGCAGTGCCGCCGGCGGGTTACCAAGTACTTCTGCAGCCGCGCCGAGCGGCCGCGGGGGGGCGCGGCGCACAAACCCGGGAGAAAGCCCTGAGGGTCTCCTTTCTCCCCTCCTTTGCCCATTTGTCCTTTGCTTCTTTTAGGGACCCCAGTTATAGAGGAACCTAGGGAATGCTCCCTCCCCCCGCATTCCCCTGCCCAGGGATCCCTAGAGGGAGAGACGCTATAATCTCTCCAGACTTGCCACTTTCCACCCCCTTTCCTCAATTCCTCTGCTCTCCTCCAGCCCTGCATTACCCTCACGGTCCACAATTAGGTCTGAGGGCTCCCAGTTCTGAGATTCTGAGCTGATTCTCCTTGCACAAAGATGAGACTAGGCGTCCCTCCTCCCCTTCCTAGCTGCCCTAACGCCTGACTTAGAGCCATAGGGAACTGGAAGAACACTTCTCAGATATGCAGGGTCAGGGTAAAGCCATCCTTCTCTCTTTTGCCCATTTTCTCGCTCCACCCTCATTTCCCTATTTTTCTACTGCTAGGTCTTTACCATAGCCACATCTTTTGTTTTGTTTTGTTTTTTTTCTGCAGAGCTCCTTCCCCAATCTTTTGATTCCCTGCCGTTGACAGACACCCCAGCAATCTCTAATGCGTCCTCTCTCCTCTTCCCTTTCCCTGAAGAGAAACTGTGACTGACCCAGGAGAAAGCATGTCTTTGGGGGTTGTTTTCTAGAGGCAGGGCCTGAAGATGGAAGAAGTGGGAACCCTAGAGTGCTGACTTGCTGGAAACCAGGGTGCTCCTCATCCTTCTGATACAGGTCTCCAGTGGACTTTACCAGTCGGATCTTCCTAGACAATCACCCCAGGTGCTCCAGGCAGACCCACAGTGTCTAGAACGACGTAAGGGCAGATTACAAGTCACTTCCTATCCTTTAAAGTAACCTTCGCCCTACTCCTATTTCATCCTAGCAGCCAATGTTACTTCTTCTCCTTCCCCAAATGATTCCTATTCCTCTAAGCCAAGACTGAGCTAAATAATGTCAATTTCCCATTCAGATCCCGGTTTGCACCTCTAAAGGCAGATCATAAGGAAGGAGAAGCTGGGACCCTTTGTTTTCACAAACCTGGATCTGAAACAGGCAGGATTCAGGGCATTGAATATTTTCCTTCGATAGGTAAACTTCCTGCAATGAAACTTTCCAATAGGAAGTTCAGCACCTTGAACTTTAATTTATTACAGTCACTGTGATATGTGCCTTCTTTTCTAGGTATTGAACTTATTCCTGGGGACATAGGGAAGGGTGAGCGGAAGATATAAAGTCTAGGCCCTCTCTTCCCTCCCACCTTGCCAGAACACTATCCTCCCTTAAGCCTCACTTCCCTGATGGCCTATGTAGTTACACTGGCTTGTATGAGGCTAATCTGCCAACAATTAGTAAATAATCCATATAAAATATTCCACCAATACATTCACCCAGTAGCTAAGAGCTCACTGCTTGTGGTGCTTGAGACAGAAGCAGTACAGCAGGGACTTGCTTCTGAAAGAGGCCTCTGGAAAGGGAAGAGTCAAGTCCCTGACAGACTCTCTGTAGCCCAAGGAGCTTCCCAGCCATCTCCCTTCTCCTAGGTTGGTTGTGGGTCTGGACACAGGACAGCTGTTTAGAACTGGTCGGATGCCAGACCACCTCATCCTACCTCTTGGAGTGGGAGAGAGCACAGATGTGGCTCCCAGTAGGTAAGAGGAGCTGAGGCTTTAAGGGACAACCTGGGAAGTCTCCTCTTATATTCCAGACCAGGGCAGCAGCCAAGTCAGACCCCAAACCCCGAGTCTCTTCCCTATATAGCCTCTGGTCGATGAACACTTACTGAGGACAGAAGTTGCCTGTCCTTCTTCACAGGGATACACTTCCCTTCAGGGTCTCCTAGTGCTTCATTTCCAGTACAATCAGCAAAACGCCTTTTGATCCTTCCCTCAGCTTTGACCTGAGCCTACTGAATCTCCCAACTTGACCTTCTTTCCTAATCAAGCAGCAGCATATACTAACCTGGCTGTCCCACTTGGCAGAATTACTTGATAGTGTGCAGTAAGAAAATCTGGCAAGGCAGCTAGAAGATACAAAAGTACAATATTGTAAAGGAAAGCTGCATTCTCCAGGAAGTCTGTTAGCATAAAAGTAGGACTATTGTGCTTCATATTTGATAATGCCAGGTCAGTACTTGAAACCTGTCATGCTGCCAGAAAGTTCTTTCATAGGTGGTTGGTCTGTATTTTCAAATGGATATAACTGATACCAGATTCATCTGAATTCTGTAAAGGAAACAATATTGAGCTACCTTAGATCTGTATTGCTTTTCTTCCTCTGTTGCATTATCCATTCATTCATTTGGTCATTCAACAAATGCCGGAGTGCAAAGAGAGTACCAAACACCACAGCGGCCTCCTTGCATTAGGTTCTCTCTTATACTGAATCACCAGGGCTGTGTTCCCTTTGCAAAGATGGACAACTGCAGAACAGCTGCTTGAAGACACTGTGGAGGTCAGCTAGTCAAAGCTTTTGTTTTACAGATTAAAATTGATGTTGAAAAAGATGTCTGGCGTGTTCAACCAACTAGTAAGTTGCCATGGGGTGCATCAGGGAACCTGGTCCCTTCCCTCCTCTTGTGTCCTCTTCAAGGCCCATCTGTCTCCAGCAGAGGAGAGAAGCAGACGGGGATCCTGAGAAGTGACAACGATACGGGTTCATGCAGGGGGCGGTGGAGGGGGGAGAGTGGTGCAAAACACTGTCTCCTTCCTGTCCCTGGCCTCTGAGCCTACACTCAGGCAGGGCTTTCTTTTCTTGAAAAGAATCCCAGCCTCAACTGGCCTTAGCAGCAGGTTAGGGCAAAGACAGAGCCAGGGTCGTGCTCAGTGCTGGTGGTGCTGGCGGTGGTGGGAGGGGAGGGCAGGCCAGGGCACCCGCCTATTGTGGGTCTGGATTGGATGCTTCCACTCATTCATTTCCTTTTAATTAACCCGCATTCCTGGAGGAGAAATATTTATGTTGGCTCCCATAGAGGCAATCCGCAGACTGGAAAGAAGGGGGAAGAAAGCCTGCCTTAGCAAAACAATATCTCTAAAGAGCTCAAGAAGAGAAAATAAGAGAACAAAATACCATTAAAATAGCCTTCTACCCCCACTGGAGTCAATGAAAACTTCATTTCACATGCTAATCCCCCACTCCGCCCCTTCTCTTCTCACAACACCTTTCCTGAAAGTGTTTGGGAAAAGTCTTCGCAGTCAGTACACAGCTCCCTGCAGCTCAGACTTCTTCTTGTGTTAGTTCAGGGCCCCAAGTGGGGCTCTCGCTCCAGCAGCGGCTTTTTTCTCCCCCCCTTTAATTTAAACAAAGACTTCAGAGTTCATCAACCTCCCACTGAAATTCACAGCTGCTGAACAAACTAATCCCCTCTCGCGGCCTTTCTTCCCTTCAATGGGCTCTTGGCTTCAAAGACACTTTGGGAAAGGACTTTGCTGGGGCTCACACTGCTTCATCAATAGAAGTTAGTGCAAGTATTATCTGAAGAGCAAGTGGCTTTACAAACAAATACTGCCTAACAATCCCTTCCTCCCAAACACACACATCTAGCCCACAGACATGATGGGATCTACAACAGGATTAGAGATAGTACCCCCGGCTTCACACCCAGCCCCTTTGTGCAGCTGAGCTCAGCCCTGAAGTGGTGTGGGGAAAACCCGAGAGCATGTCAGGCACAGATGGAGACAGACACACACACACACACACACACACACACACACACACACAGCAATGTGGCCACAAATGCTGCAAGGAGAAAGCCTTCTAGCATAATTCAGTGCTACTCTCCTTTCTTCAACTCTTGACTCCCCACCTGTTCCCAAGCCCCCCTCCTGCCTTACTGGGGTACAAGGAACAGGAACAAAGAGGCTAGGAAGAGAGGTAAGGGCAAAACAAGACCCAGAGGAGACAATAATTGGGAAATGACTGAGGAAACCAAATCAAAGCGGCTTTATTGCCCATTAAGTACATCAGTGCTTCAAATGCCAAGTCCAACCATGAAGAGTGCAGCCAGAGAAGGCAGCCCTGAGACATGTGGGGGCTGATGAGAAGGGCCTCCAAGCCTTGGGGAGCAGTGCTAGGAAAGTCTTGTTAATATGGCTCCTATTCCAGAACTGGGCTTAGAATCACACAATGGGGGCACCTGGGTGGCTCAGTTGGTTAAGCGTCTGACTTTGGCTCAGGTCATGATCTCACAGTTTGTGGGTTCGAGCCCCATGTCAGGCTCTGTGCTGACTGCCAGCTCAGAGCCTGGAGCGTGTTTCAGATTCTGTATCTCCCTCTCTCTCTGACCATCCCCACGCCCTCCCCCCCCCGCCCCCCACTCATGCTGTCTCTCACTCTCTCAGAAATAAATAAAACGTTAAAAAAAAAAAAAATAGAATCACACAGTGGAAAGCCTAGGGCCCTGGGCCAGGGCTCAGACAGGTCAAGTCAGGACCACTGCTTGCAGGCAGAGGTCCCTCTGTTCCTATTTCATAGCCTAAGAAAGCTCCCAGCAAAAGGCAGTGCACCCCTTCTACTTTCCACCTAACCTAGCCACCCTTATGATGTGAGTAGAAGAGAAGGTCCTTGTAAAAAGCACCTAAGTTCCTTCTCTTGGTTCTGCTCAGCACCCATGCCTCACATCCATGATTTGTTCAAAAGATGAGCTCTTATCAAAAGATCAACTCTATCCCAGCCTCTGGGGCTCAGAGGAAAATGGACCTGGAAATATGAACTCAGAGGCAAGGAGAAAGTAAGGCCAGACTCTTAACCCACAGAAGGGAAGAAATAAAAGCCCCACAAGATGGGTACAGCAGAGGTAGACTTGGAGGTAATGGTCCTGCTCACTCCCTCAGAAGCCACTTCAACAGAACATCCCTGGGGTTCTTGAAGACACCCTGCCCAGGTCCTGTCAGAGTACAGAGTCAGGGAAAGTGAAGAACCAGCTATATGCTCTGCCTCAGGGGCTGAGAGAGCCTTGGATGGATTCTACAAGGCTAAGCATAAAAGGGTGCAAAGCACCCTGCTAGTTTACAGGCAAGTCCACAGCATCATATACCTGGTAACAGGGAAAAGGATAGGGAAAAACAAACAATCTATTCCGAAATTCCCCCTTTTCT